TTTTGGCCACCACGGAGGCTCAGTGGTAAAGCACTTTGCTGACAGCTGGCAGTTTTCGTACACAGACACACGGGAGCTGCTGGGCTATTCGCTGTTGTTTCTTGACATAGAACACACACACTCGAACTCATTCAGAATTAACAGCAGTGTGTTAGCCTAAAGGAAGTGACTCGGGGATGTCTGCACTGAGATTCTTGGGTGCACAACTTAGGTGGGTTAAGGCAAGTATATACGGTACAGCCTTTAGGGCAAACAACCTGCCATCTCAGACTTGGGTTACAAGGTCGTCACGGCAGGTTCTGCGTGTTTGTTTTTGCAATTTCGTTGCCTACATAGCAGTGGTGCTATCAAGACGTATGGGGTGCAGGAGGCAGGACTCTGAAGTTACCAGGCCCTGGATGAGTTCCCAGCTTGCAGAGGCCCAGGGGCTGAGTTGCAGAGGAGTTAGTTAGTGATGGCCAGCAGAGGGCACCAGCACGTCTCCTTTTGAACTTTCCAAAAGCCTGGGCAAAAGAAGCCTACTTTCAGGAAATCCAGGATGGGCGTGTCCTGCATATTTGTCTGTTTTGGTTAAAAAGAGGAGGCCAGGTGGAATGGGTGTGTGCCTCAGTGTATGTTTGTGCATTGTGTCCCAGTGAATGCGAGACTTTGTGTTTGGTCTGTTCATATGTATATATATTTAAATTCATTGCTTCTTGCTCTTCATAAAATGCAGGAGGCCACTGAGAAACAAGTTTTTTTGTAAGGTCCGGGAGCTGACATTATGAAGCCATCTGTATTATTTCGACCTGAGAGTGGGGTGGGGGGGGGAGAGAGAGAGAGAGAGAATATGTTTTTAATCAAGGCAGAAAGCTCATCACCTTTTCTCAATTTTCTAAGCCTAGGAGCAAAGCCAACCCCCACCCCTCCAAAAAAGTCCAAGCCCAATTGTGCTTTAAATAGACAATTTTCCTCTCCTTATTTCTTAGTGTAACCTTCTAGATAGAGGTTACTTATGGTAATTTACTGGATAGAGAGCTACTCAAGTAATTTAAAATCCATTTCTGGGGACAAATAAAATGAATACATATTGCTGTACAATTAGGTGGCTAGAAAGAATGCAATGTTTTCAAATGCCGTCTAAGGGCCCCTGGTAGGACTTTCTCACGGTCGCATGTGGGAGCCCGAGCGGATCTCTGCTTGTCATGGCACAGAGCTTGTGGTGGTCAAGCCCCTGCTCTGCAGGAAAATGAACTTGTGGACGTGGGGCTGTTTTTGTGCTGCAACTTCACAGCTGTTGTTGGTGTCAAAGAGGTTTACCAAATTATAAGAAAAAATAATAACTTTCCTTTTTAGATGGATTATAGGTAGTCTGAAGAATTACAGGCTAAGGATGTAACAAAAGAAAAAAAAAGAGGACTGTCTATTCATTGATGACAACGGGGGGGTCAGGAGGGGGGGTGCGGGGCTGTGAGGGGAAGCCAGGCAGGCAGTGTTTTGGAGCTCCGGCCGTCCAGGCTCCCGGCCACAGAAGATTTGCAGGGAACAATGGAAGCCCCACGGCTACAACTGCACATTGCTTTGAAGCGTTTGCTCTCCTTCCAAGGAACAGCTTTTACTTGCAGTTGCTATATTGTTAGGATGAGTGAACTGGCCCATGATGTTAAATTGCTCTTACTTTATGAGACTTATTTATGGTGGGGTGACAGGAGAAGGTACACCTCGAAGGAGGAAGGTATAGGGGACGCTGGGCTCTCTGCTGCTCAGCAGGGGATGAGGTTTATGTGTGAATCAGATCTGGTTTTTCATAGGATTTGAATAGACAGTGGTGGCTCTGCAGTGATTGATTTTGAGGTCTACAAAGTTGAAAAAGCCCTCCTTCATCAACACTGCATAATGTGAAATCAAAAAGGAAGGAAAGGGACACAGAAAAAGCAGGGGGGTGCAGGCACAAATGGAAGTATGGCAGCTAAGTTAGTGTGAAGAGGTAGAAATAAGTTAAATTAAAAATCAGGGAAGGTAATGCCCGAGCAAGCCCACAGTCCGTCCATGAATTTGGAAAGAACACTAAGCTAGGGGCTGGGAAACTGGTTGGTAATCGGAGCTGCACAACTGACAGGCTGCGTGACCTTGTGTTCCTTCCACCTGACTCAGTTTCCTCATCTGTAAAATAATCTCAGTGTTCTGGTATTTGAGGTCTCTAGGGGATGTTCTGTGGAAAGGATAGTAGTCATATTTTGATTAGTGTGCTGTGGTATATTCTAACTATTTCTAACTTCCTAACTTCAAATTTCATTAAACATTTAACTTATGAACAGTGAGACTTGAAAGCTCATATAATTTTACTATTCCCTGGAAGTAAGGAAGAAAACAATATTTTTTATTACTTTTGGTTTAGCACTTAAAGTATTCTACTTAATAAAATCACAGGCACTTTTGTCCTCAAGGAATTTAATGCTGGGTAAAAAAATTTGCCAAATCCCCCCTTGAAAGATATTAACATTATAAATGTTTGATTTGAACTAATACACTTGATTAAGCATAGTTAGTATTCTTATGTTATTAGTATAGCAGAGCCTTACAGAAGTGGTTACATCTAATTTATTGCAGCTGGATCATTTTTATCGATCATTCCTATTGACCAACACAATATAATGCTGTGTGTTAAAAATGCCATGTGCTACTGTCAGAAGTGAACAATTGCAAGTCTTCTGGATGTCCTGGTTTGCTCTCAGACACAAACATATTTTTCCACGCTACAGGGCTGGTATACGAGTTATATTGTTTACAGAGGAAAAAATCCTTTGGGGATGAACTATAGTATATATTCATTTGTGACTTGATAAAGTCTTTTCAAGAGTAATATCAGTTAACATGAGCCTTGTTCTTACTACCAATAGATTATGTTTATTAAGCAATTACTATGGATATGTCCTAGGCTTTATATGCTTTACATGAGTTATTTTATATAAATTCAGAATAGTTACATGATGTATTTATCATCTCTATTTTTCAGGTGAGGAAACTTAGGCTTGGTGAGAATAAATAAAATGGTTCATATAAAGTTATACACCCAAGGTCATAAGGGATTTTATCTCAGCCCATCTATCTTCAATAGGTCATCTTAACCACTATTCCTTACTAATTTGTCTTTATTTTTTAATAGAATATTTTACATAAGGCTATGATACAATATTGAGAAGAATGAAAAAGTACTTAGAGAATTTATCATTTCATGTTTTCTTGTTGTTTAAGCTATCAAGTCTGCAAGGATAGGAAAGGTATTCTATTCTATAAATAGAATACAACTGTAGTATAGGGTAAAAAATGGAATTAAGGAGGAAAAGAGAGCAAGAAATGTTTCACAAAAGAACTATATTTTAAGGTATAATTTAAAACTTAGTGGGGTCTCAAAGAGTGGCATTTGGACAAAAAAATGCTTGTGTCAAGAGTACAGCATGGACAATCATGAAAAATTGGAAATACATGTTACACTTGCAGAAAGCAAAAATTCTAGTTGGTTGCCAAAAAATAGTTAAGAGGAGATATCAGACCATTCATGCCCTCAACAGATTATAAGCTTCTGGAGGACAGGGGTCGATTCTTAGTTATTATTACATTTTCTGAGTGTGTCCCAACATTATCTGCTTATGGTTGGGACTTAAAAAGTACTAAGGGCTGAGGAGAGGAGATAACATTTCAAAAAACCCTTGGGGCCAGATGAGAGCAGGCTTCCAGGTTATGGTAAGGAGCGTGGACTGTGTTCAGCAGACAGCAGGAGTCAGGGGCAGTTTGGGGCAGCATGTTCTGCATGCTGCTTCAGGAAGACTGACTTAGAGGCCACAGGAAAGATGGGACAGGGGTCCTAGAACAGTCAAGGGAATGGAAAACTTATGGTCGTGAAAGCCAGAGGCAGGGCAATGGTTGTAGGATGTGCAGAGGGGACGGGTGGTGGACTATTTGTGGAGGGAGTGCTTCACCTATGGCACTCACTGCCTGATGTCTGACTGACAGAGGCTCGTCTGTGAGTGCTGTTGCCAAGTGCTTCCAGGGAACCACCAGGGGCATGGAGAAAAGTGGAGGCATCATGCACAGATAATCCCCCTTTTAAAAGCGAGCTTACAATGTAGGTATAAAGATTAATCCCTCTGGAGAAATACTCCTAACATCCACTTATCATCCTGCACACTAACAGTATTCAAAGGTAAAATGGTTCAATGGTGGAGGACAACGACAACAAACACATATCTTCAAAGAGAGAAGCTCACATTTCAAAATGAATTGGAATCTTACTTTCTATTTTGATCTTCGCTTGCAATTCAGCATATCACTTGATGCTGATATATAGAATTTGTTATCAGTTGTTATCCAAGGGAATTTGCCTAAACACAGATATAAAAATCAGGCTCTGATTGTATATCTGCTCTCTTGCCTGCTAGAGTTAAGTGTCTGATGAGTTTCAGTGTTAATATGCTTGTTTCATTTTCACTTTTCACATCAGAAAAATGATAAAGTATTGCTCAGTTTTTGATCATTTAACACTTTGTATAACTAGAGTGATAACCTGTCATTCATCACCCAAATGAAAACACGGTTGAGAGTAGTAGGGGGTGCTGCTAATGATTATACCAGGACAACCATGGAAACTGAGACTATTTTGGGAAAACCAAAACATGTGGATTATACAGTTACATAGAATTACTTGCAGTGTTATATCACTTTAAATATATATAACTTTGGATAATTCAAAAAATTAATATATTATATAGGGTGCTTTTTTTAGCCATGTAGTTGATACTTAGATAAGACCAAAGGTAACTTTAGATATGGCATTTCTGAAAAGTTAGGTTTTTAAATAGTTATGAGCAAAATGTTATTAGAATTTACCCTGGTCAAAACAATATGAGAAAATACTGAAGTATATAACTGAAGGAAAGTTGCATGCCATCTACTTTCTGCCACAAGACTGTCTACTTCATCATCCTTTCGTGTCCCACAGGAATGCCTCCCAAGCAAAGTACTCACATGTACATAGGCTGTAGTTGTAAATGAGATGTCTTCTGAGGCCCTTGATAGCCATAAGAATCAAAGCCACCTATGAAATCAACTGAAAGGGGACAATTGACTTCATTAATTCACTTTTCAGAAGAGATAGATGATGATAGAGATTCATGATGAAGGTCTCACACGGATTCGTCATCTAAACCTTTTAATAATATAGTAAACCAAAAGTGACTAATTGTAGAGGAAAAAATAGTTCCCTCGAGGTAGTGATTTCTTCACCCCCTCAGCTGTGAGATTCAATTATTGCTTTGCAAGAATCTATTCACTTGGAAGAAGAACTCAAGTTCTCCTCTCAAGCTTGCAAGACCTAACTGTTGTAACCAACTTCACTTGCATATTAAAGATGCTACATGTCTTTTTGGTTAGTGCAGATATCTTCTGCAACACATTGCACATGTAAAAGTAATGATGGCTCAGGTGCACACACCTATCAGCAATTGCAGCACTAGGGATATTACTAGTGATTGCTAAGTACAAGGGCACTATGCCATAGCTCATAAAAATGAACCTAACATGGCTGTCCCTTCCTTCATGTGGTTTATAATCTGAAATAGACAATCACAAATAAAGATGTGGAGCAGTGTCCAACAACCAAACATTCAAATGCAATAGATAGCTAGATATTTATGAGACAATAAAATATAACAAGAGTGACTGTGGCATATTTTCCAAAATGCAAAAAACAATATCTCCTGTTCCATGTGTGTTTAAGATGTAATCCGACACACCTACCACCCAGTGGTTTGGGTCTATGTTCCTTCCTCTTGAACCTGGATAGACCTCTGTGGCCTCTTTGAACAACAGAGTATACTATGAGTGACACTATGTGAGTTCCAAGGTTAGATCATGAAAATGTCACATTTGCTCCTCTTGTTCTTTTGGGTTGCCCTCTTTTGGAACACAGTTACCAGGCCCAGACTAGTCCACGTGGAGAGACCAGTGGAGAACCCGTGGATACGTGTATCAGCTGGTAGGCTGGCTGAGGTCCCAGCTGATAGCCAGCGTCACCATGCAGACTTGTAAGGAAAAATGCCTCCAAATGACTCTAGCCCCAGCGGCTGAGTCAGCCCAGTCTTGAAGTCTTGCCAGTTGAGGCCCCTTACATGACAAATTGGAGACCAGCCGTCCTCAGTGTGCCTCACCAGAATTTTTAACCCTCGGAATACATTTGCATAATAATGGTTGTTTTATACACTATGCTTTACAGCAATAGTAACTGGAACAGTAAATACTAAGAGTCCTGTGAAAAAGTTTTGTTTTCGTTTTCTTTTTTTCATTCCTGGATATAGAAGTTGTGTGGTAAAAATAAAAGGAAAACAACAGAGAGGATGACAAAATTGGTGACAAGAAGGAGAAAGAAAGGGATATACAGCCTGAATTAGGATGCCCGAGGGTACCTTTACTTTTTCTAGTATTTTGGTTTGAACTAATTTTGGTTCTCTTTCCACTATCTTAAGTATTACAGGTAGAGGTTGGACCAAAGTGTGATGTAACAAAGTCTATGATGTCTATTTCTCTGTTTACTGGGGAAACCTATTTTTTTAAATGCATTTTATTTTTTAGATCAGTTTTACAGCAAAGTTTGCAGCAAAGTTGAGCAGAAAGCACAGAGTTCTGGTACTACCAACGTCCCCACCAGGGAGGTACCTGTGGTACAACTGACCCGCCATTTTCACCCGGAGTCTAGAGTTCACATCAGGGTTCACTTTTGGAGTTTTATATTCTATGGGTTTTCACAAATGCATAATGATACACACCACACAGAATGGTTTCACTGCCCTAAAAACTCTCTGTGCTCTGCCTTTTCCCTGGTCTCTAGCAACCGCTGATCTTTACCTGTCTCCATAGTTTGGGCTTCCGTAGAATGCCACCTAGTTGGACAGTACAGCGTGGACTCTTACCTGATTGACTTCTTCACTTAGAAATATACATTTAAAGTGACTTCATGTCTTTTCCTGGTTTAATATCTCATTTCTTTATACAGTGAAAACTCTTTTTGCTGAGGTGGAATTTCCTTTTCATCAAATCAAAATAGTATAATGAAAAAAGAGGCCTGATGTTAGAAGAACCAGGGTTCAAATACTGCTTTGACCACTTGCCAGCTGTGTGGTCAAATCTCCTAATAGCTCTTAACTCAGGAATTAGAATTCTTATTTCATACAATTAGCATGAGGATGAAATAAGATAAGGAATGTAAAGCCTTGGGTGATACATACAGTGTAGAAAAAGAAAATTACCCTCCAATCCTGAAAAAAATTAGGACTCATTCTAAGCCTATGCAGTGCAGGAGAAAGAAAGACAGAAAATGTTTAATTTGGGACAACCAAGGAATTATACCAAGTATTTTATAGAAGATAAATTAAAAGAAAACGAACCTCATTTGTTTTCTGAATTGCCCACATTTGTACATTAGCTAATATAAGCAGTACCAGAAAAGCTGAATAATAATTGAATGGCACCTGCATTTAAAGTTTATACTTTGAGAAACTATTGTCCGTAACTGGGGATTTGATGCAAATAGCATCTAAATTCTTTTGTTTGGGTTTACCTTGTGAACACTGAGGCTTACCTGAGGAATAGTTTGCTGAGACGTTTTCACAGGGTTAAAGTTTCCCTCTGAGGGTGCCTTTCAGTAGGATGCCCCCACCAACCCCTTGCCCTTGTGCTGGACAATAGAGTGGACTAGAGTAGCTCAAGGTCAGGGCAGGTGTAAACAGTAAGGTCTCCTCCACTGATATTGAGATCCAAGTTAAACTCAGGTGGATGAGTTGTTATTGTTAATTTTCTTTCTCTTTTAAATATTCCCACAGGTTCCCCCCCCCAGGAATTTCAAATGAACGGCAGAAAAAAAGCAGATGGTATTAATAAGCCAAAGATCATGGAGTGAACCAAGGGCTAACCTGAAGAAACCAAGGTGAATCTTCAAGTCCAATGGATAGAATCAGAACCAAAAATGAGAAACAAAGCTTGAGCCTGGAGCAATGTACCTTCCCAAGACATCAGCAAAGGCCGGAAGGGACATGAAGTATGTCTTCAGCATGTCTTGCAAATGGCACTTGAACTGCCTGGGTCTTTCTCCTATTAGCCGTGAGCTGTCTGGTGTGTGGGTGGTCGAGCTGGCTTACACTACCCAGCTGGGGAGAACAGCACTAAAGCTCTGATGCAAAGGCTGCGAATGTTCTGATCGTTCAGATGAGCCAGGGCCATGGAAGAGGTTCTAGTAGAGGGTGATTCAGAACCAAGAAGAGAAAAGAAGAGGATCTGAATGTAACCAGGGTGGACTTTTACCATTTCACTCATGGCTGATGCGGGGTCAAATTTAAACCAGATGTAGGGATGTCAAATTTAAACCAGAATTAACGGGTATATTTTCTGTACTTTATGTACGTGCCTGTGTTCACAGCCAGTGAGATGACGTGAGGTCATTTTCCACATGCCTTCATTCTGAGTAATTGTTTGGCTGTCTTCCTAAGTGTCTGAGGGAGACAAATAGGAATAAATGGGCCCAGCTCACCACTGCAGTTAGTATTATGGTGGTCAGTGTAGTGGACTCAGCCCCTGGCACCTTTTAGAGAATGATGCTTCAGTGTCTGGAGCACTGGCGTGTGGATGGCAGAGAACAGAGGTAGAAGAAAGGGGTAGAAGAAGAGGTATTTTTTCTCAAAATACTCAATTATTGGGGCTAGACTACCATTTTTAGACTACTATTAATACCGCTTTGGTCTGCTTTCAGTTTCTTTAATATAATCACACTTGTTCAGGCTCTAAAGTGGCTACTGGAAACTGTACACCTTTGCTGAGCAATAGAAGTCATAAGTCATCTGACAGGGTCTTTCCCCAAGTAACAGTGATGGCATCTAGATGTTTGTCTTATAGCACAACTCTGCATTGTTTAGGAGAAAAGTACCTTTTGTTAATGAGGAATCTCTTTAATTCCTAAAAATAAAAACAAAGTAAACTTCGGACAACTGCAAAATACTTAATTTCTAAAGCCACTTCAGGTGATATCATTTATATTTACAATAGCACTGTGAAATGGGTATGAACAATTACTTTTATTTTATAGGTAAATACAGATTATTTGACTGCTTGGGGCCACACACGAGCTGAAAATGGGCCTGGAAGCCAGGGGCTCACTTCTCTTACTAAGTATACTGGAAAATGATTTCTGTTTTTTTACTCATGCCACTCCAGAAAATTCCTAGAAGGTTATCAAAGGTTTTGCATCACCTTTTGGGTTAAATCTAAAATCTTTAAGGCTTTTCTTTTTCTACTCACTTAACAAAAGTTTTAGAGTTCTTCTTTTGAGTCTTCTGTGGTTGTAGATTCCTCCTTTTGTTATTTATTCTCCCGCATCTTTTCTCTGTTCTTTCTAGAAAATTTATTCCTTCATCTTGTCCCCAACTATAATATTCTCGGATTATTCTGATGTGAACAATAATCAAAGCAAAAAAGACTGTGCTACATTTGCCAATGAGAGTTAGAAATGTGTTTTGACTTTCTGTAATGTATCTTTAAGAAGAGACATAGAAAATATCTTTCAAGGTTTAGTGCATTTCCTTTGTCTGATAACTTGAGCAGACATCATATAAATATTTAAGCAGTCCTTCCTTCCAGAAATTATCTATATTCTTAGCCCCATCTTGTGTTACTCTGATCACAATGACATTATTCAAAGTAAGGAGAGATGTTTTTCTTATAGCTCCTTTTACATTGTCTCTTATTTCAGTGCTTATCAGAAAATCTGGAAGACAGAAGAAGTGCTGAAGGTTTGAATTAGAATTAGGAGAATGCAAAGAAAATAGGACATTGAGTGCAAGGTAAATGGAGAAAGGGGTAGGAACCTGGGACATGCCACATTTTTTAATATGAGGGAAGGAAGGGAAAGACAAGATTCAAAACTGACTCAGAAAATAGTTGGCTAGACGAATGTTGCTGCCTTTACCAGAGCAAAAAGGATGTCAGGAATAAGTTGGTGTTCAGTTTCATTGGGGAATGTAGTATTTAACTTATAAGTGGCACATATAAGTTGCAAGGACCAGA